ATAATTGTCGATTTTTAAAATTTGACTTTCGTGTTTTTCATTTGTAATGATAAAATTTAACATACTATTTTTTGATATGTTAGTCCAACCATCACCAGACAGTGTTAAAAACATCGAATCTGCTATAAAATTTTGAATGCCACATTGAACATTTTCATGTATATTATCTAAAACGTCTGTACTTATCCATTTACGAGATGGAAGTTTATACTCGGGTCTTAACATATGAAATAGTTTAGCTACTTCAAGATCTTCTACAAATGATAATGGTGCATTGGCCAAAATTATAGCTTTGAGTAATTGACGATTAATAGATGCATTTTCTCCAATTCACAGAGCTGAAGTATGTTCGGTTTTTGACTTATTATTTGTATTTGTGTTATGATCATTGTCTTGAGATAATAAATTTTTTTTTTCTAAATTTTTAGCATCAGTATTTTTTAAGATATCTTCAATATTGTCATGCTTATTTTGATGAATGTCTTCACATTTTTCTAATAAATGTTTGACCATTTTTGAAGGTTCTTCAGGACAGTTCTGTTTACAAAAATTGCATTGTGCTAAATAATGTGAACTGTTTATCTTTTCACCTTTGCTAAACCATTGCCAAATTGGTTTTTTTTTCCTTTCAAATTTACGTTGAGGTGATATTTGAACACAAGAAATTCAAAAAATTTTAAACCTGATATTACATTTACTAATATTTATTAATTTTTTGTAAACAATTAAAACAAAAACTGTTATAATCTTGAGAAATAGAATTTTGACAAGTCTGCTCATATTAGGCTAGCATTTGATTAATTTTTTCTGGAAATTTGTTTGTCGAAATTGTTTGACAGGATGGTTTGTCAGGATTTTGACCCAAACAATTACATATATATGCAGTTATTAAAATGCTTACATACCTATTTTTAACAATTACCGAAATTATTAATTATTATTAACTATTATTAACTAATTACTAATTGTTTTATTATTAACTAGCAACTCGGTAGTCCCATCACTAGCTACAATGATATTCAATGTAATAATCTTATTCGAGCAAACATCAAAAGAGAATAAAAAAAATAAAAATACATACAGTAAAAGCATAATCGATAATCACAATTTAATTCGAATTATCTAATTCAAACAGACTAAATAAATAAAAGTAATAATGTTAACTACCTATTCGAAATAAAGTGGTATGTAATCGACAATTTCTAAGCCAGATCGACTAAACATCAAAAGAAATGAATAGTGTAAATCATTATTGGCAATTTGATATAAATAAGATTATTATTCCTGAGCGAAATAAAATGAAGCGGTATACGCATACGTATGAGCAGCGTAGTGATGAGCAGCAAAGCATAGCAGTGAACAGCAAAGAGCGGCTAAGCGTAGCAATGAACAGCAAAAAGCAGCAAAGCATAGCAATGAGCAGCAATGAGCAGCACATAGATACAATAATAAAAACACACATACAAAATGACATGGTTCCCATGTAATAACGAAGACCTAATAAGATAAAAAAAGAGATACTCATTGAAAATCAGTACTATGAATAACGAAATATTGCCGAAAACACAAAGTTTCAGTAACATAAAACTGCTGTCGCTCTGTAGTTAACTTATATAGCGACTCCCAAAATTTTCCTGGTTACACAATATTTGATTGGTTCATAATTACATAATATATGCAAGAAATTTTATATTTAAATTAAAGTATGATTCACGTGCATAATAGTTTTTCTTATTGTTAACGATGTTCTCTTTTTGCAAAAGTTGTCAAACAACACGTCCAGATTATGAATTTAAAAAAATTAAAAATAAATTTGCTAAAATTGTAATTTTTGTTTGAATAACGGCAACTTAAATATCAAAATACAAAGAATTCTAATTTTAAGAAGCCATTAATTGAAATTACATGTCAAGTTAATAATTCAAATGATTTGCTTATTGATAATTTGACTAATTCATCCATTAATTAAAGTAATGCCAACGATGATAATATTATAGAAGATAATGCTATTTTTGAAGTAGATATAAGTGTTCTTTCTCAAATCATTGATGAAATTGCAAGAACAAAAAGTACAGAAAAATTTGAAATTGCTGTTCGATTTGAAATATTGGATCGATCAATAAATGAAATCACAAGATTTATTCGTGAACAAGTTGAAAATAGAAATAAATACAAGTGGAAGTAAGTATAAATAATATAGAATATAAATTAATTTGCAATATGCATATTTGTTTGTAGTTCAAAATACTACCTATTATTTAATTTTTTTAATTTATTTTAATATGAACATAATTAAATCATTTTTAGTTTTATTACAGTATTAAAGCCAATTATTCAAAAAATATGCCTGAGCAAATTAGCACGACATATTATAAATGTAGTTAATCTGAAAGTTTAAATAATTACAAGCCTTCAAACCGTAAAGGAATGATAAGATATAATTGCAATAGATATTTTATTATACGAACTGATCTTTTAAATCGTATGCAAATATAAAAATTCAACATGAGATATTTCATGAACAACCTTCAAATCAAGAAAAAGTTTCTGAAGATATTAAAGCTGAAATTCTACAAAACAAAAATCTTGATCCACTACAATTGTGAACTTATCTTTCTACTAAATTTGATATGAAAAATATTACAGGCAAACAAATTTATTACTGGTGGAGTCATTTTACCCGATCATTATATCAACAACATGAAAATCTAGTAAAGTCGGCTATAAGTCTTATTCAAAATAGATACCAGTCAAAAAATTATAAACTATTGATTGCAAAAACATCAAATACTTTAGTAGCGATTGCTTTTTCTACACCTCTCTTGGACAAATTAAAAGATACAAAAGAAGTTCACTTAGACGCTACATACAAAACATCGAAAGGAAATTTTGAACTTTATGGTTTAATTGCAGAAAAGAATGGAACAGGCTTTGCGTTAGGATATCTTGTTTTAGAAATTAAACTGGATGAAATCAAATCTACAAAGACATCTATTTTAGAAGAATTTTTATTTCAATTTAGAAATCTTGGCTTAATTCCAAAGTATATTTTTACTGACAAAGATTTTTCAGAAATAAGTGTGGCCCAAAAAATTTGGCCAGAATCTGATGTTCAGTTATGTTTGTAGCATATGAAAAAAGCTATTTTAACTAAAATGAGATCAAGTCAAAAACTAGAACGATATTATATATTTAAGGAAATTAATTTAAAATTATTTCTATTTATCGATCAAAACTTTATTCCAAGAAATGAACCAGATATTATTTGTGTAGCATGATATCAAAAAGAAGTTCTTTCATTAATAGAGAAGCATTTTAATATACATTCTCTTATTCCTATTGATAAAGACGGTTCTTTTTTAACACCTGAAGAAATATGGAAAAAGGCTGTGCATGAAATTTATCAATTCTGTATAGAACACAAAAATCCACGACTTTGGAACTACTTTTATTCTTCCTGATATTCAACAAACCGTTGGGGATTGTAGGCACGAAGTAATCAATATTCTATTCCTTTTGGAAAAACAAACATGTTAATCGAAGCTCATTGGAAGATAATTAAGCATGACTATTTATATCGGTTTAATCAACCACGTCTCGACTATGTAGTTTATGTTCTTTGTGAAAAAGTGCTTCCTGATCAAAATATTTGATTTCATCAATTACGCACAGGACGATCAAATCCTTACTAGTGGAAAAGCTTTAAACAAGAATGGAAATTATGTTGCACAAAAAAAATTAATGAAAATGCTAAAGAAAAATACTTTATTAACTCAGACAGATGGATTTGTAGTTGTCCATCTTTTCTCTGTAGTTGATTTCTAATATATAAGCATTTAATTCATATGATCGATGATGTATCAAAAAGGTTATTGTATGATAAATTTCATCAAAAATGCGAGTATCCTTTTTGGCAATTTGGAAATAATAAAGTTTGCAAGAATCGGTTGTATCTAATAGCAATATACTATTGGAAAAAACATTGCTTGAAACAAATGAGTATGACGAAGATATATTATAGAATTATCTCCAGAAGAATTTACTAAAGAGATTGAAAAGCACAAATATTTTCTTTAGCATATACAGGAAGAGTATGAGGCAGGTAATTTTTAGCATATAAAAGCTTTGCTTAAAGGTTCAAAATGAGTACGTGAAATGATGGATGATATTGATTGTATACAAAAAAGACGAATTAGAAGAAGAACGTATAAAGATTCAAAAGAACATACGATGTTTTTAAGATAGATATAATTGAACAATAGTTTTTGCGTATTGATTTTTTTTTTTTTAAGACTTACTTATTTGAGAGTTTGTATTACATAGCAACAGGGTATTAATATCTACAATTGATGTCTAATACAATAATCTTATTTAAGGTTTAAAGTTCTTATTATAATTTTTTTTTTTAGTTTAGCAACTTATAATCTTTGATATATAAATCTGTTTGTATTCTTTCAAAAAATATCTTTATTTTAAAGCTCGAGAATTTGAAATAGATGAAAAAAAAATTTAAGATTATACTATTAAATGGAGAATTGCACAAAATCCTTCTCCTAATCCTGTTCAATGGTCTGATGAATATATTTTAATTTTAAAGAATTCACTCAAATATTATCTCTTTTGATTCACTATTTTCAAATTTCTAGCAAAAATGCCTTTAAGAAAATTCAGTCTTATTAGAAAATCCTTAATACAATGCTATAAGTGATATTATGTTAAGATTTATGATTCAAAATAATTTGATTATTCGATTCATTTTTATTTTACTTTCGTGAAATAATATTTCTATTACTAATAGTAATTTATCAAAATTGAATTAGTAGTAAAATATACCATATTACAAGTAAATAAGAATCAATTATAGACTTAACTAAATCATTATAGATAGATTCAAATAATGGCATTTACATTAAAAAATTGTAGTAACTCCTATTATAGGATGAAAAGATATGAAGAATCACTTGCTGATTTAAACAAATCTTCAGAAATTGAACCGGATGATGCATTTATATTAAGAAATTGTAGAAATACTCATCTTATAATAGACAGATATGAAGAGCCACCTTGATTTAAACAAATCATTAGAAATTAAACCGAATAATGCAGACACATTAACAGATTGCAAAATCACTTATTTTATAATGAAAGATATGAAGAATCACTTTCAGATTTAAACAAATTATAGAAATTAAACCTGATACTTATATTTAAAAATCGTAGAGACACTTGTCATATGATGGCAGATATAAAGAGTTTTGCAGATTTAAACAATCATTAGAATTAAACTAGAAATG